ACACAGTGCAGAAATAATCCAGTTGGAGACCACTTTAACTGCCCTGGCTCAATGCTATGAAATTCTGGGATTTGTAGTTTTGTGAGACATTTAACCTTCTCTGTCAGAGTGCACTGGTGCAACAATAAACTACAATTCCCAGGATTCCCTAGCACTGAGCCAGGGCAGTCAATGCAGTCTCAGACTGGATTATTTCTACAGTGTGTTTTGGAATTATTTAAATTTAAATTATTTAAAGGTTGTATAAAATTACCTTCAGGCTATGTGTATAAGTTCATATGAAACATAAATGAATTTTGTGTTTAGACTTGGTTCACATCTCCAAGATTATGTATGTGTAGGTAAATACAGGTATTCCAAAATAAAATAAAACAAAAAAAAATAATCCAAGATCCAAAACACTTCTGGTAGCAAGTATTTTGGATAAGGGATACGCAACCTGTACCTTTGCTGTGCCCAAGTTTTTTCTTTTAAGATAAAAGTATCACATTGCTTGTTTCTTTTCATTACTTTAAAAAAAATGACTTGAAAAATTCTACACAAAATCTTTCTATGCTAAAACTCAGACCACAAATAGAAAATGATACTCATAACACCAAAAAATTGATAATGTCTTTCCAACCAGGAAAAAGTTTGTTACAGATAACCATGTTAATTGAAACTAGTTACACCAAAGCTATAATTGGACATTTCTTCTTTCTTAGTTCCAGCATTAATTGGTGTCTGAGGTGCACCATCCCAAGTCATAAAGTTTGGGTTGTGCACATGTGTGTGCACACACACATAAGTGGAATGGGCTGGTTGGTAGAGGACGTAGTTCGGGTGGCAGATCTTCAGTGCTGCTATGGTTGGAAGAATGGGAAGCACCTCTGTACAAGTCTTACTGAAATGGAAACTTCCCAAGAGCCCTGGCACCATCTTGCTCTATTCTTACTTATTTCAGAGGACTTGGCTGAGAAAATTTCCTGCATTAATTAGCTGGAGGAATATGCTACAGCAGGGGTAGGCAACCTTTCCTCTTTAAGGGCCGAGGGACTTCAGCTCCCAGAATCCCAGGAGCTATTGGCCAACATGGGACTGAGGCTTCTGGGAGCTGAAGTCCCTCGGCCCTTAAAGGGGAAAGGTTGTCTACCCCTGTGTTACAGTATTTGATCCCCCCCCCCCCCAATTCAGATCTTCCTTATACTTGACTGGCCTTTCTTCAGAATGATATATCATTAGTTCTCTCCTTGACATTTAGTGTAGACTGTGGAACCCCAAGAGAGGACTTGCGTTGTACTGTACAATTTCTATACATAGTACTTCATCCTTTCCCAGTCTGATTTTCTCCAGGTTTTCTGGATTACATCTCCCATTTTTTCCATCCACTGGGGCTAACACATTTGGAAGGCACTAGTTTGGAGGAGGATGGTATATGGTATACATTGCTTCTGATACTGTAGAGCTCACTGACAATACCATCGCTATAATTGTGAAAACTTGCTTGACTACCAATCCATTTGAGCTCATAGAAATAGGATGCCGTAGGGATGGTATGCTGCTGGTATCTAGATTTATCAGCACAAAGAGGAAGCATGAGGGAGAAGTATGTTACCAGCTAGATTGTAAAAATTGTCCGTTTGATCTTATATACAATGACTCAAAAGTGGGTGTAGAAATACAACCTAAGTAACTGACTGTCAATGGTGAAAATTGTGCTGAAATGATGAATGATTTTTAACATTTTTCTGTTTCTTGTGGGCTGTTTAGGTTACGTCCTCCTCCTCTTCCTCCTCCTCCTCCTTATTTCCTAACTGTGATTTATTCTGGCCTAATAGAAAGGCAGAGAGAGCAGAATGGTTAGAGATACAGAACCATTCAGATACAGATGCAGGTTAAAAAAAAGTCAGCATTGCTTATATCTCTATCTTCCCTTTAGTATTCCAGTTTCTAGGAAATATTTTTCAAAATCTCTGAAACAGCAGCATTAGTATCTGTTGGTTGCTTTAACTTTGATGTTTGTCATAGTATCTTAATACTTAATATTTAAAAAGCCAGTTATAAGTCCCAAAAGATTAAAGGAAGTGACTCTTATTGAATGTAAGCTTAATTTATTTACTTATTTGGGAGTCAGTCTCATTGAGCATGTGAAGAGTTAACTTCTGAGCAGCATCTATGCAGTTGTTGTGTTAGTTTCAAATAGTTAATCTTGAGGTACCTTGTAAGGGTTTTGAAGCATGCAGTCCTAGTTCCCATAAAGTTCTTTGCTGTCATCTATAACTTTTTAAATGAAGGGTGGAAATGGAATAAAACAGTAATTGGTTTCAGTTCCTTGGTTTCCTGGCTCCTTGTGAAGAACGATGCCTTGTCTTCCTTTTAACTGGTGAACTTTCAACACGCCATGTTTATGTTCCAAGGCATAATTCAGCCCCCAAGTACATAATGTACGTACATAATGTCTGAATGTATTTTAGATACTTTGGTTTTGTAAGGACTTTTCAGTTTTTGTAGGGTTTATTTTATTAAATTTAGGGCTGAAATATGCCTGGAAAATACAAGGGGTGAACTGGCTCCTAGGGCAATTTATGTTACTTCTCTGCAGTGACAACTGGATTGAGCTCCACTGCTGGAGCTCCATTGTGTTGGTGAATGCTCTTGTCCCTTGGAAACCTCTTGCCAGTGATGGTGGCAGAAGCAATGGTGGGCTTCCCTAAGATCGGCAGAAATGGCTTCTCATTGGTGTTAACTTGGACCAGAAAAGGTTTGTAGCAAAGCAGTAGGAATGTGAGTGTTAGGAGGAAAGCTTCCCAGTTGTACAGGACGGTACTTTTACTTGTCAGTGCAGAGGGAAACATATTCTACAATAAACCTTTCTTTATTACTTTATATGTATCCTGTCCTGATACTGAAAACTGATCCCATGCCACTTGTTGTTACATCAGCAACAGGAGGCAGCAGGTTCAGGTTGCCAATCTTCTCTCACTTCCTGTGTCATGGCTGCCATTGTGTGCATGCACCAGTGCGTGCTTTTCAGACATACTTGTTGAGGTTATCTGCATCAGAAACATACTACAGTACTTTAAGTGCATATTCGATATGAAAGGTGTTAGCTCCAGGGAAGAGAGAACAACTTCTGGATTTCATAGAATCACAGAGTTGGAAGAGACCCCAGGGCCATCCAGTCCAACCCCATTCTGCCATGCAGGAACTCTCAATCAAAGCACCCCTGACAGACGGTCATCCAGCCTCTGCTTAAAGACCTCCAAAGAAGGAGACTCCACCACTCTCCGAGGGAGTGTCTTCCACTGTTGAACAGCTCATGTGTCAGGAAACTCCTCCTAATGTTGAGATGGAATCTCAAATTTAAAATGTTTATTAGACAGTTTATGGCAATAATTAATGCCTGGTTTGCTTTTGCCTTGTCCAAAACTCTGTTCTATGGGCTTCATTGTGCCCAGCAGCTGAGGAGCCTTTGGCCACACTGGATTCTGGTACAGTACATCTTTGAGAGGTGTATATCTAATCTGTCATCTGCCTCTCGCGGCCGGTGCCTCCCACTGGGGACTCAGATAACCTCATTTATGGATAGTAGTAACCTTCCCTTCCCCACTTTTTTTCAGTTATCAGATGAAGAAATAGGAAAGGGTAAAACCTTTCCTTTCTAGAACATAGTCTCTTGCTACCTTAATACATTTTAGATTCGGTAATCTATGCCAGTGGAAAAAAGACAGGAGGTTTCTACTGGCAGCCAGCCTGGAAGGCTAATTAACTAGAGGAAGGACTAGTATTTTTCCAGTACCTTTCTCAAGGGAGTGGAGGCAGAGAGCGAGCTTCATTTAGTATAATTTTTATAAATGAAACATTATTCCAAAATCATTATCTCCTCCTCCTCGTATCTAGTGAATAAACCTCACTGCATATAAGGGACCAAACAGTGATACCTTTATTGGCCAACTGAAATGCACAATATACTTGTTGCAAGCTTTTGAAGCTCCACTGGCTTTTTCATCAGGCTAGATGTTGTAAACCAAACAGGAGAAAAAATTGGAGATGCTAGTAAGATGATGGCATTTTGTTGTTTCTGTCCTTAGTTAAGATGGTATGGGGAGGGCATCGCTTGCAGGCTGGCTCCTCCTCCTTCCGGCCATATGGCAATTGGGAGATTTTCAAAATCCAGGAAATTTAAAGTCAATTTGCATTTCAATAAGGATTCCTCTCTTGAAATCCAATCTGTCTCTATTCCTGTGAGGCCACAGGCCTCTTTGTAGGTAGAGAACAATGGATTTCTCAAGAAGCCTCCATGTTTTTGCATCAGAAATAATTTGGTAGAGGTAGAGGTAAAACATGCTAATCCAGTCCAAATTGAAGAAGAATTGGCATTTTGTTTGGTGGATTTTTGTTTGAATTTTCTAAATGGCCAATACAGCTACCTCTGCATGCTTATAAGGGGGGCACTTACCTTGACTCTTCTAAAGAGATGAAACAGTAAACTCAAAAGTGACATGATCTTTATTTGCATTTTATATCTCGTATGCATATATGCTTATTAGAATTAGTACTTCATTTTCACCTCTGTATGTCTGTTTTTGGTGAATATTGCCTCAAAGTGCTTACTTAGTTGGGCATCCAATCTTCCCTTTTATTCTGTTGATCACTGGGAGGAGACTTCCTCAATATGCTTGATAACTGAAAAAGAATAGTCCTGAGAGCTAGAACTTAAAAATACAGATTTGGAATAACTTCCAGAACTGAGGGTGGTTTATTGTGTTCTATCAAAAAACAACGAAGAACCATAAAGACTACGAAATCTATTGTGAAAACTTTTTAAAGTAGGAGTCCAAATAGTCAAAAGCATGGAGTTTAAAAATTGTCTCCTACATTACATAGTTCATAGAAGATCTATGCCATGATGAATTAGTATTTTTATTTATTAAATATAGTAAAATATAGACTTTCACATTCAGTTGGGGTATGTATTAAGTTCATACCTTACAGTTACCATTTTACATCAAATAATGAGAGCCAGTGTGGCATAGTGGTTTGAGTGTTAGACTACAACCCTGGAGACAAGGGTTCAAACTGCTACTCAGCCATGTAAACTCACTGGTAATGTTGGACATGTTACACTCTCTTAGCCTCAGGGGATGGCAGTGGCAAATCCCCTCTGAAGAAACTTGCCAAGAACACCCTATTATAGGTTCACCTTAGGGGTTGCCATAAGTCAGAAATGACTTGAAGGCAAACAACAACAACAACAACAACACTTATACCTTCACCTGGGACAGAAAATAGTATGTCTCACATGTGAGGGGAACATAATGTTTCAGTAATTTTCTGATAGTTTGCCTCTTCTGTGCTCTCCTGCAGTGTCTCTTGTATTTGTTGTTGTTAACTGCCCTCAAGTCGATGTTGACTCATGGCGGTCCTATGGATGAGACATCTCCAAGACCCCCTGTCCTTCACTGCTCTGC